CAAAATACATTTTTTTTTTTTTTTTGAGACGGAGTTTCGCTCTTGTTACCCAGGCTGGAGTGCAATGGTGCGATCTCGGCTCACTGCAACCTCCGCCTCCTGGGTTCAGGCAATTCTCCTGCCTCAACCTCCTGAGTAGCTGGGATTACAGGCACGTGCCACCATGCCCAGCTAATCAAAATATATTTTAAAAAATAAAATTTAAAACTTCTGCTCTGTAAAAGTCACTATTCAAAGGAAAAGACAAGCCATAGACTATCCCCCTGATAAAGGACTGGTATCTAAAATACAGAAAGAGCTATTACAACTCAACAATAAGAAACAATAAGAAAATAATTGAATTAAAAATGGGTGAGAGATCTGAACAGCCATCTCATTAAAGAAGATATATAGATGGCAAATAAACATATGAAAAGATGTTCCACATCACATGTCATTGGGGAACTACAAATTAAAACAATCACATACCACTAAACACCTTTCAGAATGGCTAAAATTTTAAAAACTGACAATACCAAATGCCGACAAGATAGAGCAGTAAGAACTCTCATTCACTGCTAGTGATAATGCAAAAATGGCACAGCAGTTTCTTACAAAGCTAAACATAGACTTACCTATTTAGCCACAGAAAAGAATGAGACCCTATCATTTACAACAACATAGATGGAACTGGAAGGTCATTATGTTAAGTGACATAAGCCAGGCATGGAAAGACAAACTTTGCATGTTCTCATTTATTTGGGAGAGCTAAAAATTAAAACAATTGAACTCATGGAAACAGAGTAGAAAGAAGACAGTTACCAGAAGCTGGTAAGGGTAGTAGGGTTTGGGGTGAGGGGAGGTGGGGAAGGTTAATGAGTATAAAAAGATAACTTAGAAAGAATGAATAAGATCTAGTATTTGACAGCACAACAGGATGATTATAGTAAATAATAATTGTACATTTAAAAATAACTGAAAGAGTATAATTGGATTGTTTGTAACACAAAGGATAAAGGCTTCAGGGGATGGATACCCCATTTACCATGTGTACAAAATATTTCGTGTACCCCATAAATATATATATACCTACTATGTACCCACAAAAATAAAAAATAAAAAAACCCCAAACCAAAAATAGACTTACATATGATTCAGCAATGACACTCCTTGGTATTTACTCAAATGAGTTAAAAACTTAGGTCCACACAAAAACCTGCACAGAGATATTTATGGCAGCTTTATTCGTAATTGGCAAAACCTAGAAGCCACCAAGATATTCCTCAGTAGGTGAATGGATAAACTGCAGTACATCCAGAAAATGGAATACTATTCAGCGCTAAAAATAAAGTATGAAGCCATAAAAAGACTTGGAAGAACCTTAAATATACATGACTAAGTGAAAAAAGCCAATCTGAGAAGACTACTTTTTACATAATTCCTACTACTTGACATTCTGGAAAAAGACAAGACACTAAAAAGATCAGTGCTTGCCAGGGGTTCAAGTGGGGTTAAAGGAAGAGGGGTGAGTAGATGGAGTACAGGTGATCTTCAAGCAAATAAACTATTTTTTAATGATACTGTAAAGGTGGATACATGTCATTATGCATTGACATATAAAACAAAGCAGGCCAGGCGCATGGCTCATGCCTATAATCCCAGCACTTTGGAGGTGGGCAAATCTCCTGAGGTTAGGAGTTCAAGACCAGCCTGGCCAACATAGTGAAACCCCATCTCTATTAAAAATATAAAATTAGTTGGATGTGCTGGCACATGTCTGTAATCCCAGCTACTCAGGAGACTGAGGCACGAGAACAGCTTGAACCTGGGAGGCGGAGATTGCAGTAAGCCAAGATCATGCCATTGCACTCCAGCCTGGGTGACAAGAGCAAAAACTCCATCTCAAAAAAAAAAAAAAAAAAAAAATATATATATATATATATATATACACACACACACACACACACACACACACATATATATATACACACACATATATAGTGAAACAAAAAACCCACTAGCATGAAAAACTGCTTGTTGGTTAATGCGGATAGGCACACCCACTTTTAAAGTCCCTATCAGTCTATAATGTTCTACCACTGCTTACCACAGTGTGAAAACGCACTTGCTCAGATGGTGAGGATACATGGTAAGGGGAAGCACAGGTTACCTTGGCTGCTGGATCACTCACTCAGATACCTTGTTACCATGTATTCCCACAACGAACCCTGAACATGTCCAATTTAGCTTGTTTCCAGTCATTACGGGTAGACACTTCAATCCATACAATCCTAGCTTCCAATTCTTCAACTGAGTTGTATTATTTTTCTTATCGCTGTATCACAAATTCCCATAAATTTATTATTTAATAGTTCCCATGAGACAGGAGTCTGAATCTGGGTGAGTGGGGTCATCTGCTCAAGTTCTCACCAGGCTGAAATGAAGGTGTCTGCTGGAGATGCAATCTCATCTTAGGCTCAGAGACCTCTTCCAAGCTCACTGGTTATCGACAGAATCAATTTCCTTGGGGCTGCAGAACTGAGCCCCTCAGCCCCGAGAGGCTGCAGGCCATTTCTTGTCATGTGATCTTTCCCACAAGATGACAGTTTGCTTCTTCAGGCAAACAGGAGAGTATCTTAGCTGTTTTAAATCTCTCTGGCTTCAGGCTGGATGCAGTGGATCATATCTCTAATCCCAGCACTTTGGGAGGCCAAGAAGGGTAGACCACTTGAGGTCAGGAGTTTGAGACCAGCCTGGCCAACATGGTAAAACCAGGTCTCTACCCAAAATGCAAAAATTGGCCAGGCATGGTGGTGGACATCTGTAATCCTAGCTATTTGGGAGGTTAAGGAGGGGAATAGCTTGAACCCGGAAGGCAAAGGTTGCAGTGAGCTTAGATCATGCCACTGACTTCAGTAAAGGTCTACTCTCTTTTAAAGTCTCATCTGATTAGGTAGGTCCAATTGGGATAATCTTTATTTGACTAGCTCAAAACCAACTGATTTGGGACCTTCATTATATCTGCAATATCCTTCACCTTTGTCATGTGACATAGCTTCACCACGAGAGTAAAATCCATCAGACTCCCAATCCTGCCCACTCTCAAGGCAAGGGGATTACACATGGCGCATACAACAGGGAATGGGAGTCTTGGGACCATCTACACTTCTGCCTACCACACGGATAATTAATCCTAATAACCTAATGCTGTCAGGTTAATCCTCCTAAGTCAAGCCTCATCACACTGTCCTCCTCCTAAAATAACCTTGAACAGCTCTACAAAGCATAGAAAGTGAACTCTAAATTCATCAACCTGATATTACAGGCCTTTCTTAACCTCAACCCAGGTGGCATTTTGAACCTTAACTCCAAAAGGCTCTCCTTGCCCACAGGGCTCTTTGCTCTGCCCACGCCCCTCCCCCGACCCCCAATTCCCTCTGTGTTCTCTGCTCTGCATTCCTTCTTGTGTTTTCCTCCAAACTCTGTTTGCTCTTTCCCTTCTCCTCCTCCTCCTTCAAAGCCTATACAGCCTTCAAGGAGCTGCACAGATTCTACATTCTGGATCATATGCTCCTATATGTCCTTCTTTGTCCCATTTATGCATTTTTGCTAATTAAATTCATTCAAGTGATTTTTCTCCAGGCCCTCAACAGACCTGAAAGTAAACTGAAATACTAAACTGTTGGGGTTATAGTGTTAGCACTATAAATACGATGCTATAGTCTCAGACTAATAACCCTCAGAGCAAAGGGGAAGAGCTTCAGCTAAACAATAAATTAAGAAAATGTGGAGCCTCAAATGCAGTGGTGATGTCAGCAAGTTAACTAGCATCATTTAAAACCACCTTCGACCTATTTCTAGAGAATATTTTTACCCAGAAAATCAGTAGTAGCAAATTTGATAATACAGAAACAGAAACAACCACTGCTGACTGACATTTTCATTCTGGGAACATTTTATTAAGAGAAATATTCAAAATTCCCCACATGCCCATATTTTCCATTAACTATTGAGAAACAATATGCCAAAACTCCAAAGAGCTTGACTTTATGCCTCCAAGATGATTACAAAAAAGTCATTCGAATGGAGACAGAATGAACATTCTTGACTCTTAGAGAAATGTTAAGTAGGAATTCCATACACACACTCAATTTTTTTCACCTCAGAAAAAGACTGAGTCCTGGGTAAGTATATTATGCGTTAGCCTACCAAAGTACTAACTTGTCCATGATGATGTAGTACGTATTACCTGCGCCTCTTTGATGACAGAAGTATTATTATTAGAAAAATCCATTTGGCTTGCCTCCCCAATAAATCAAATTTCCCAAAGACAGGAACCATGTTGGTTCTTTGATCCATAGTGCAAGAACTCCAATCAGTAGCACAAAAGCATATATGCGCTTTTATCAATTGGATATTGTAAGTTCTCAAAATGTATAAAGTTGATGTTCCCATTTAACATTGGAGATTCCAATGTTTCCTATTTACATTCAAAAAAGGATGGCTTGTAATATATACAACTAGAAGAACTTATTAACTCATATTTAATCAGATGACAAAAATGATACTATGGCAAGGACTGTAAGGATTAAGCAAATTAATTGGGTATAAAGTTCTCAGGCTCTGACGCTGCATTCCTAGTAAGTTTAACTGTCACCTTCCGTGGTACCAAAACTTCAAAACAGATTTATTTTCTGAAAGGCTGGAGAGTAGGGGGTTGGGGAATGACTTACAAGTTAAACAGGGATTATGTGTATATAAGCTGTCAATCACCATGATTCAATGATATTCAAACTTTTAAAGCTATTTTGGTAAAGAAAGAAAGAAGGAAGAGAGGGAGGAAGGAAAGAAGGAAGGACAGAAAGAAAGAAAATTAGTTCTTACCTAAAAGACTAGATATGAGACTTAAGGAATTTAGACATTCACGGCTGAGTGCTCAACAATACATTCCCAGTGGAATGGTCTCTAAAAATGTCTACAATTAAAAACAGAACAGTAGGAAAAAAAATTGAATGGCTTACTCTCTTATTGGTGCGTTAGTGGAGGATTCTTTTTCTGAATCAGGAGAGCTTAGGGTTTGCAAAGTACAATTATTTTTTTCAGTAGATAGGGCATCTCTTTCTTGCTCAGAGCGGATTAATTTTAAGGCCTCTATTCCATCTTCTCCCTCCACTTTGCCATCTGGATTTGGCTGTGGTTCTGGGCTCTTTAAAATCAGATCATCTTCACTTATAGAAACAGTGAGGTCACTGCTGGTGCTCCAACTTTCCTCCTCCTTCTCTTCCTGCATTTTTCTGAAGGGCTTTTGTGACTCTGGGTCCCCATGAGCAAGATGATCTGCAAGTGAGGACATTAATCGATTACCAATCTCTGACTTCAGGGGGAAGCAAGGTAACACACAGCAGAATTATTCATCAGTTAAAAACATGGAGGAGCAACCCACAATTCATTACAGAACTTAGAAGCTTAAAAATATGTTCAAATGCTTTTTTAAAAATCAGTGGGTTTAAAAATCAGCAAATTCACTTGCATTTAAGAGTTCATTAGAATGGAATTTGTTGGTAAAGACACTATTTTATGACAAAGAGATATAATTAGAGAGTATATTTTGTCCTTACATAAGATCACTACCACCCAGAAAAAGTAAAAATCACCACCACCCAGAAAAATCAGCAACCAAACAGCCTCTTGTCCCACCTGAAACACCTTCCCAAGCAGAATGCTTCTCTCGAGACCACTTATTTTCAGATCCATGGTATTCTGAAACTGATATCGGAGAGACTGGTGGGCTGGCTCTTTTTTCCTCAACTTCAATATGTTCCCGTGTCAGTATTTTTCCCTCTGATCCCCCTGATCTGCTGGAGCTGTCACACTTTAAATCAGTGGTTCTGTTCTCTGGACTTAATCTTTCCTGTAATGGGGAATTGAGTTCAGCAGACTTTTTGCCTTCAGATAAATTACTCTTGCCATGACGTGTGTTACTTCCTATCTCCAAGCAATGAGTTTGTTCCTCCTCAGACAATTCACTGGCTGTGACTGGCGTTTTCTCACCAGTCTGAAGAGACGCCTTTCCATCTATGTTGTCAGACTTATTTAAGCACTGTATGTCACTACTAGTTTGTACGACACAGCTGTCTGTCACATTACTGCTCTGGGCTGTCTGTCGGTGTGAATGTAGGTCAGGAATTGAAAAGTTCTTTGTGGGTTGGGGAGATTTGTGCTCTGTACTGAAATCTCCCATGCTTGAGATGGCTGACATTTGGCGGCCCATAAAGATTGCTGCTGGTTGATACAATCCTCTCGACATGGCTATTCCTGAGTTAATTCCCTCCTGCACTGCAACCTGTAACAACAAAAGAGATGTAAGTTAAACATACTGTGTATGAACAACTAGGTGGGTTGTTTTTTTCTTCAGAAATAAAAGGAGGTCAAACAAAGCATGAATATTGAAATCAGCACCTATCATGTTTTATAAAACTCATGGCTTTCTACATAATGAATGAGAAAAAAGCAGCAAAATCCATACGATTTAATTTTAAGAAAAATGATAGTTCATAAAACAAATATAGTAAAGATAGCAGGCCAGGTGCAGTGGCTCACACCTGTGATCCCAGCACTTTGAGAGGCCAAGGCCGGCAGATCACCTGAGGTCAGGAGTTCGAGACCAGCCTGGCTGTCATGGTGAAACCCTGTGTCTACTAAAAATGCAAAACTCAGTGGGGCACATGGTGATGGGTGTCTGTGATCCCAGCTACTCAGGAGGCTGAGGCAGGAGAATCACTTGAACCCAGGAGGCAGAGGTTGTGGTGAGCCAAGATCACGGCACTACACTCCAGCCTGGGTGACACAGCGAGACTTCACCTAAAAAAAAAGGAAGTACAGAATATATGTTTTTGAAAAAAGAAATACATGCTTTGAAAAGACATCATTAGGAAAGTGAAAATATAATCTACACAATGGGAGAAAATAAATTATGTATCTGATAAGGGTCTAGTATCCAAAATACACAAAGAAGTCATATAACTAAATAATAAAAAGACAAACAGCCCTTAAAAGTAGGGAAAAGATTTGGATGGCCATTTCTCCAAAGAAGATATATTAATGGCCAAAACACACAAAATGATGCTTAATATCATTACTCATTAGGGAAACATAATTCAAAAGCACAATAAGGTATCACTTTACCCACTATGATGGCTATCTTGGTCTGTTCAGGCTGCACAAAATACCATGGACTGGACAATGTATAAATAACAGAAATTTGTTTCTGATAGCCCTGGATGCTGGGAAGTCCAAGATCAGCACAGGAACTGGCAGACTCTGGGTCTGGTAAGGGCCTGCTTTCTCTCATACAGCATCTTTCTGCTGTGTGCTCACAGGGTGGAAGGGGCAGACAAATTTCCCTGGGCCTCTTTCATAAGGAAACTAATCCCACTCATGAAAGCTCTGCCCCTCAACCTAATAACTTCCCAAAGTCCTCATCCTCAAAAACCATCACCTTGGGGATTAGAATTTTGCAGGGGGCACACAAATATTTAGTCCATAGCAATGGTTATACTTTATACTAACAATGACAGGTGCTTTAGTTTAAGATCTTTAAGATGGAGAGTACTCCTCCAATAGTCAGGAGAAATATGAGATGGAAATAAAGACATTACCACTTACAGATTCTGGGAGTACACAGCATGCCTGCAGGCCAAACACACAAAGGTCAGAGAGTACAAGCAGAGAGAGAGAAAAGGGACCCATATCCTCACATGGTAGAAGTGGGGTTTGTGGGGAAGGACACATGAGCCAATGTCTTATTTTGGTCCCAGGTGTTTCCAAACAGATTTCCCACAGGCAGCATGGAGAGTTTTTTGTGTTTTTGAGATGCAGTTTTGCTCTTGTTGCCTAGGTTGGAGTGCAGTGGCATGGTCTCAGCTCACTGCAACCTCTGCCTCCTGGGTTCAAGTGATTCTCCTGCCTCAGCCTCCCGAGTAGCTGGGATTACAGGCATGCACCACAACAACAGGCTAATTTTGTATTTTTAATAGAGACAGGGTTTCTCTATATTGGTTAGGTGGGTCTCAAACTTCTGACCTCAGGTTATCCACCCACCGTGGCCTCCCAAAGTGCTGGGATTACAGGTGTGAGCCACTGTGTCCGACCGGGGAGTTTTAACTGGTGAGTTTAAAGCAAGCAGGCATGAGTTCTGGAAGGTTACCCAGTGACTGGGAGGTGGCCACTGTGGCATATCGGCGTGGTCTATGGGGGATGTGAAGGTCAGAAGGGCCTGTCAAGCAGGCTGCATCCAGCTGTCCCACAGGGAAGTGGTCACCATAGAGTAGCTATGTAAGGCAGGTATCTGGATCGACCACACTGAGGAACTAGGGAGGAGGGTGGAACTACAAACTGTGTCAGGGTGACTGAGTCTTGCTTCTGGTATGAGACGGTTCAACTTAGATTTGAAACAGATGCGGAGGTAACATAAGATTATAAGAACTCACTACAACAGGCAATAACAAATGTTGTCCAGGATGTGGAGAAATTAGAATCATACATTGCTTATGGGAATATAAAATGGTGCAGCCACTTTAGAAAAGTTTGGCAGCTCCTGAAAAAGTCAAACAGAGTTACCATCTGATCAGTAATTCCGTATCTAGGCAGAGGTACGGACAATGTAAACATATGACTATACAAAAATTTATACAAGGATATGCATAGCAACATTATTTATGATAGCCAAAAGTGGAGATAAATCCAATGGCCATCATTAGATGACTAGATAAAAAGTAATACATTCACACAAGGGAATAATTTTCAGCTGTGAAAAGAAATGAATTACTGATACCTGCTACATCAGGGATGAACTTTGAAAATATCATGATAAATGAGAAGCCAGTCACAAAAGACCAATTACTCTAAGATTTCATTTACAGAAGATGTTCAGAATAGTCAAATTTTTAGAGACAGGAAGTAGTTAACTGTTTGTCCAGGATGGGGACTGAATGGAAGGGGTGGGTGATGGGGAGTAGAAGGAATTGGAGGAGGTAAAGAGTGATTGCTAACAGCTGTGGGGTTTCTTTTTCAGGAATGAAAGTACACTCACATTGATTGTGATTATGGCTACACAACTCTGAATATAATAAAAATTATAAAGCTGTCGCCAAAAAAAAATGAAGAAATGAATAAAAAATTCTCAGAAAACAAATGAAGTTATGCAGCTAACCTGAGATTAGAAAAAGTTCCCAGCACTGAGGCTGGGGTAGGAGGATGGCTTGAGCCCAGGAGTTCGAGACTAGCAAGACTCCATCTCTACAAAATAAGTAATTGAAAACAAAATTTTTTAAATGAAAGGATATTCAGGCACCTGTAATCCCGGCTACTCAAGGGCGCTGATGCAGGAAAATCACTTGAACCTGGGAGGCAAAGGTTGCAATGAGCCGAGATCACACCACTGCACTCCAGCCTGGGTGACAAGAGCAAAACTACACCTCAAAACTAACTAACTAAATAAATAAATAAATATTAGCTGGGCATGGTGGCACACCCATGTGGTCCCAGCTACTTGGAGACTGAGGCAGGAGAACTGCTTGAGCCCAGGAAGTCAAAGCTGCAGTGAGCTATGATGGCACCACTGCACTCCAGCTTGGGCTACAGAGAAAGACCCTGTCTCAAACAAACAAAAAAAAGGTTAGAAAAAGTACATCTCTCCCATCTCTCCCCATAGAGTGAGGAGGGACAGGAAGATCCAGCAAGATAAAAAAGTACAGAGGAAAAAAGAAGTTCTACCTTCATGATCCTTTATTCCTCTAGCTGTTCTCCCCAGAGAAAGCAACTCTAGTTTCCTGCAGAAAGGACCTGGACACACTAGTAGGTATGTGCGTAAAGGGTGACATACTTTGCATTATATAATTATAGTTTTTATTATATTCAATTTTAACAGCTGCATATTATCCTATTCTATAGATGTACCATAATTTATGTAAACAGTCTGCTATTGAAGGACACTGGTTTGTTTCCCACCATCTTCCACTCCAAATCATGCTGCAGTGATTACCCCTGAGTGTATGTCTCTCTGCACACAGGCGAGTGTATCAGTAGGATACTTTTCCAGAACTGAAATTGCTGGATCAAGCCTGCCTTATAGAATAGTGTCATTTTGCCATCCAAAGAGGCCATTATGTCATTTTAAAGAATTTTCCATTATTCCATGTGGTTTAAATAGCAAAATGATATTACTCAACATTCTAACTCATCAATGAATAGTATTTGTAATACATGTATCTTCTATTCTTTTGCAATAAAAAAGCTGATCTATATTATACTGATACAATAACAAAGACAAATTTTAAAACAGGCCTGTAACAAATCAGGAGTTATAAAAAGGTGGCCCTTAATGGCATATAAAAACAAAAGTCTGAGGACGATGCAGGGCCCAAAAAAGGCAACGTGTAATCTAACAGCTACTTTCATTTTTCCTGCAAATAGATGGCTCTGAGGGTGGAGACTTCAGCAGGTTGGTGGGGTGGCGGGGAGCGGGTCTCAGAGTGGCTATGCAATAGCAGTCATTTGGTGGAGACATGAGGCAAATCACTCTCAGACTTGTTAAGTCTGAGAAGCCTTTAATTTTTCATTTTCAAGACCACTTTATGAAGTGTTAATGCACCAACACCAGAGCAATGACTAACCCAGACACAGGAGGCCTAAGCACCTTACTCTTTTGATCTGCTAAAGGCCAAGCCAAAGCATAAAAGAAGGCACATTTCAGATATGAAAAAGCCACCTGAGGAGGGCCAAAGGAAGTGTCCCTGAGTTACTCCTTTCAACTAGTGATTCTCAAATGTTTCTGATCCACCAAGAGAGGCAAAACTTAACAATGAATCCAGAGCCAATGACTAGAGAGAAGTAATAATCAGACTGGTAATCTGTGCAGTCAGGAAAAGTAGTGGGGAACCATGATGCAGCATACAGTAAACGCTTCAGAACTATGGCATGGGGAGAAATGCCAGATATAGGTGAAGGGGAGGAAGGCAGCAAATCACATTGCCATGTGTGTACCTATGCAACAATCTTGCATGTTCTTCACATGTGCCCCAAAACCTAAAATGCAATTTAAAAAAAAAAGAAAAAACAAAAACAAAAACAAAACAAAACAAAAGTACACGGCATGTTAGTGGCCTGTAACAAGTCAGGAATTATAAAAAGGTGGCCCTTAATGATGTGTAAAAATAAAAGTCTGTGGACGATGCAGGGCCCAAAAAAGGCAACGTGCACTTAAGGATCTGCTTTGATTCAACAGGAGGGTCATCTTCCTGCTGTATTTCTGGTGGTGGCCAGATTTATTTTTAGGGAGCAGTA